TGTTACTGCTCTTCATTCATTTATTCGATATGCCAAGTCAATCGTCTTGCAGCCAACATAGTGATTATTTTAGACAGCAATGTTAACATCAGTCTGACAACAGATGAGCCAGGCTCATTTTCAAACATCCTTTATTGATTAATCCTTACACGTTTAAAGCATTTCCTCGCTTATCAGACATACTTTTAAAAGGTTTTTGAAACCTCATCTATTTAATTCAAATTATAAGTGAAACCTCGTCTATTTAATTCAAAATATAAGTCTACATACCTAATTCAATGCCGTATTTTAACTATTTCATTATATGGATAATTTAACTTGAACTATGAGTCAAGCAAGCATACCACATTTACTGGTTTCATTTATTTTTCATCTTCAACCAATCTGTATACGACGACCATGAATAAAAACAGTTACGTAATTATACCCATCTTTACAACTTCTCAAATATTAAAGAGAATCTAAAGTATAAAATATTAAAATAAATATGCTAAGAACAATAAGTAGTTTTTGTCTCTGGCGTGGTATAAATAGTTGTCTCTAGCGACCATCACGTGAATGCTATCTCATCTTACCCTAGATTCGATGCAAAATGACCCTGGAGAGATCTCTAGAAAAAAAACCCCCACTCTTTGCTATTCTAGTTACTGAATGAACATTAGGCGAGGAATATTGCAAACGATAATCAACTCAACTATGATACAATTACAAAATGTATGAAATATCTTTTGATGCGGCGAATAGGATGAATTGTGATTTTAAAACAAGTGATTAGAGCTAGAATGAACAAAATAATCAGGATCTCAAATAATCTAGATCTCAAATGAATCTTGATCTCAAAATAATCAGGATCTCAAATAATCTGGATCTCAAATGAAGAAATTAAAAGCAGATTATGGGGAATATCATTGATGATAACTTAAATTAGACTATTAGAGTAGACAGTTCGTTTATAATCGATATACATGAAAAATTGGCATTAGGGAAAATGGAACAAAGCAAGAATCTTTAGCGAAAGAATCTCATATAAAGTTTGGGGTTAACATTGCTTGGAGGGTTTAAAGTAAAAAAATCACGACTAATCGCAGAGATGAAAAACGATATTAAACAAATAACATTTAAATAGACTATGGGATTAAAAGTTAAGCGTAAAGTGTCAGGCATTTTTGCAAGAGCAACTACGATACCAAAATTGAATATAGTGCATCTGGTCAGGAACTAGTGACTGGAATATTATATCTTACGAGAGAGAGAGAGAGAGAGAGAGAGAGAGAGAGAGAGAGAGAGAGAGAGAGAGAGAGAGAGAGAGAGAGAGAGAGAGAGAGAGAGAGAGAGAGAGAGAGAGAGAGAGGTCACAATTTACGTCACCAAATCATCTAATACGTCATCTAATACGTTATCAAATCATCTAATACGTCAGAGTTATCTTCTTTCTAAAAGCTGCTGCACTTTCTAGAACCTATTTATGGAGCAGTTTTATTAAACTTTTAAGTAGACGGTGATGCTGGCAATTCGATCTGCAATCGATTGATAACAATTTACGGAATATTTTTGAAACAAAACTGAAAATGTTCTACTTCATGGAACAAAGGCAGATGAAGTGTAACGGAGTAGGAAATGGTGTGCTGGTATATAATGTATAGTACTGCTGCAGAATTTGTCGTTCGATAAATGTTTTATTTTTTCTTTACCTTGTTATATTTTGAAAATTTTTATTAAATTTTACACACAGTACTGACACTTATATAAACTGTTTTGATTCGACATGAATCATTTATAGTATATTTTCATAGAAAAACTATTGTGATAGATTTGATAACTGTTGCAATACGTAACGGTCTTACGCAGATGATATTGTACCTTCTTGAACGTCAAGGTCATTTTAACAATATCATTGCGTCGTTCATTATGCTACAATTCTGTCAATTAAAGAAAATGTCATGTGATAAATTGCTTTAAATTCCAATCTGGCTCCCTATGACATGAGTTCATTTCTATTAATTACTAGGTAGATGCAAACTTAATCAAATACGCCATTCTTGAGGAGGGAAGCTAATTGCAAAAAGGTCTAATGAATACACACAATGTCAGGGCAAGCAAATTGATCCAGATTACATTGCCATCAACATGATTGGACAGGATCGTACAACTGTCGCATTTAGAATAATTATATTAAGACGGTTCATTTCCTAGGAACTGTAACGTTAACTTTGTCGAATACACTTTTACATTCATTTTATCCAATGTCCTGCTATTGTTAGGTTAAGTAGCTGGGCGATTGTGATGCCATACCAAAATGACTGGACCGCTCATACTTTGATTGGGCGAATTAAGGCTAATAAAATGCACTCACCTTTATGGAGACTGATTCAATACACATTTGCTGGATCAATTAGTATTTGAGAACGTAAGACAAGGTAAAACGATAAAATTGTAAAATATTAAAATATGCCTGAAATATAGTTTGATGTTTAACCATCTTTTTTATCAATGTTTTATT